AAGGACCCAGAGTCCTGGCTTCCCCAAGTCTACCTAATCCCTTGAATTTTGTGAGATAAATTTACTAATTGTTTAAGTTAGTTGGAGTCAATTTTCTGCTACTTGCAGCCAAAGCATTCAGACAGAATTATGCAGACATTGCTGATGGGATGAGGGTAAGGGCAGTAATGGAGGCTGACAGGGGTCTCGGAGCTGTAGACAACAGCAGAAGAAGGCATCTGTCCTGTTGAGCCTGATACAGTGTGGAAGGATCGGAGAGGTTTGTTTTGGTCCAGGACTATTATTCATTCTTCATCCAAACACCTATTCACCAGCTACCCTGTGGCAAGGATTGTGCTAAACATGGAGGATTTAAATGAGCAAGATAGATGCCGTTAGGACTTCCCTGGTGGTCCAGTGGTTAAGACTCTGAGCTTCCACTGCAGGGGGTACAGATTCGATCCCTGGTCTGGGAACTAAGATCCCACATGCTGCATGGCTAAAAAAATAAAATTAAAAAAAAAGGTAGACACCATCTCTGCCTTTGAAAGGTGTGTTGGGGGAAATCCTGAAATATGAGCCCAAAGAGGTAGATGGGGCCAGAGCGGAAAAGATACTGAAAACCCTATTAAAATGTTTGTTATCTTGAGGGAAAGGAGAATCTTGAAGCATTTTAAATAGGAGAGTGTCATGAGGCAATTTACATCGAAGAAGGATCAGTTTTACTGCAAATGGAGCACAGGCTGCAGTGTGGTCGAATGAGGCACGGAGACCCACTGGGGAACCGGTGGAATAATCCTAATCCCTTTAGTATCCTTTCACCTTTGAGTATCTCCAGAAGCACCTGGGGTCTTCCAGCGTAGGTGGAGCTGCATCAGAGGGTCAATGCGCTAGGCGGTTACTTAGTGTGCCCGGGTTGCTGTTGTCTCCTATGTCGCTCTGCCCCTTCAGGGTTTTCTCTTCTTGGGATGTGGAAGGGAAACCAGCTTCCCAGGTCCATGTCAGCTCCTCTTAGAGGGGTCTCACAGCAGGTTGCTGGAGCCCAGGATACAATCAGGTCCAATCAAACCAGTGTTGGGTTTTACATCTAGTCCTATTTCGCTAGAGAGACTATACCCCCCCCCCCCCCGATGGCTGGGTCAAGGTCAGGTTCCAGAAACAGCCAGAGTAATGATCTCCCGGGCACAGATGCTGGGTCCCCTTCACCAAGAACGCTCCTCTCTTCATGACCGGTCCTCTCTTGAGCCTCTCACACCTTCCTGCAGTTGCTTCCTGCATCCCATGGTCCTGTGTGTGATGGGGGTTGCTAGCCTCCAAGATGGAGTGGATCCAAGTAAAGATAATACAAACAATTGCTGATTTTTAAAAGTTCCGATTTTGCACTGGGATGGATCACGTGATTTTTCTTACAGAAAATCTGTTCTCCTAATGCACTGTGCTTTGGCTAATAATATAATTAACCAACCTACCTCAACACCCAGCCACTGAGTAATGAGGGAGCTGTCCCATGAGGATGGAAGGGGACAAGGCCCGCAAAAATCTAGCATCGTCTGCCCTGTGTTTATAATCATCTTTCCTGATCATTTCATATCAGGCAAGTGCCACCAACAGATGATGCTTTATTTGGCTGGGAATGATAATGATGGCTTTTTGTAATTGTAATATTTTTAACATTTCTTGCAAGATTTGATTATGTTTCAGGAATTTAACTCTTAATTGCATTCATATGTAAGGAGAAATGTAGTCACTTCCCGTGTCAACGCTGTCAGCTGCTGTATAACTGATTAGAGGCCCCATAGTTGCTGGCTGCTTTCATTAAGATGGTCACAGTAATCAGGCGGAAAAGCACAACTGAGTAATTGGAGATCTGAAAATACAATGCTACTTGATTACAATTATGGCTGGGAAATTAGAGCAAATCCCAAGGGGCTAAGGCAGGACTGGATCTAAAGCAGCCTTGTCTTTAATACAGAGTAGCCTCTGTATTATGCCAATTTCAAATATATTATATGGGATATCACTTTTTTTTTCTTTTTTCTTTTTTTTTTTTTTGCGGTACGCAGGCCTCTCACTGCCGTGGCCTCTCCTGCGGAGCACAGGCTCCGGACGCGCAGGCTCAGTGGCCATGGCTCACGGGCCCAGCCACTCCGCAGCATATGGGATCCTCCCGGACCGGGACACGAACCCGTGTCCCCTGCATCGGCAGGCAGACCCCTAACCACTGCGCCACCAGGGAAGCAGGGATATCACTTTTTTAATGCTTTCTAAACCCAGAGTTGGGTTGTTTTTGTATATCATTCAACACACACAATTCTATGAGGGAAATACCATTTTTGCCTGTATTTTAGATGTGAAAAAATAAAAGCTTAAAGAATAATTCATTTGGTGTCACATAACTAAAAAGTGATGGAGCAGTAAGTATAGACTCTTATCCACGATGCTTTCATATGCAGGCCCACAGCCCTTATTCACAGCTTCAATATTCAGAACATTTTGAAAATACCCAAAGGTGTTTTGTTTGGTTTTGTTGGTAGCTCATTTAGTGGCAAAAGTCTGATCTGACTAGGTCTTATTTATTGTATTTATTTACCCTTCTTTGTCTGAAGGTTGATGTTTCGCTAGAGAAATATTAATGTGTTTGTTACAGGGTGCTGATTCAGACAGCTGTGGAGGGTGATATCACCTTTACAATATCTAGAATATTCTGCACTCCAAAAATCATCTGGTTCAAAGAGGTTTTGGGTAAAGGATATAAAGTTGGTGGGGTGAAATGAGAGGAAAGGGCAAAAAATGAAGATAAGGTATGAAATTAAGATAGGTCTGTGTAATAAATAAAGGCTTGTTACCGTTTAGTACCCATTCCCCACCCCGGGCCTAGAACAATAGCTGACCCTTAGGGAGAGCTGAATTAAACTGGCCTGAGGGGCGGACGGTGATCATGATGGGGATGGCAGTCTGCTCTTTGTATTTACCCAGCGAGGGGGCAGTGAAGGGGCAGCCTAAGAGAAGGTGGCCTTGACGACAACACTGTCATCTTTGCTTACATCTCTCTATCCCTGGAGGAAGAGCTGGTCCCACTGTAGAGGAGTCTGGCTCCAGGCCAATCCTAAGTGACCCGACCACGGCCAGGGACCAGGCTTTGCCCGGCAGGCTCATGGGGAGGGGAGGGAAGCTGCCCTCCCCACAGGGTCTTGGGGCACAGCTGTGCACTGCAGTGCCTGCAGGGAGTTTCAGGCAAGGACTCGGCCCCCAGGCTGCCCCGCTCCTGTGCACAGCGGCATTCCCAGCCCGCGTGCCTCTGCTCGGAGGTCTCCCCCACGCGGGGGCCTCAGCTGAGGCACTTTTCTCCATCCTGACTCAGTACATTTTCACTTCTAGCCCTTCCTCTAGTCATACCCCTACACCCTCCCCGGTTCATAAAAGGGCAGGAGCTTTGCCCAGAGCTCCTGGGCAAAGATCCCTCCCTCGTCACCGTGCCAGGGCTGGCGCACCTGCCCCTCACCCAGTGCTGTCCAGTGGGCAGAACGGGGCCTGGGCAGCGGTGCCGGTTCCTGCCTGCTGCCTGCACTGCGGCTGAAAGTGAACCAAGGCTTGCTGTGACTTTCGCCTCGGCTTGCTGTCCTACGAGACCACCTCGACACCTGCCCTGCCCCAGTGCCCTGCAGGCTGCCTTCAGAAGCCTTCTGCCAGCATCCTCTTTAGCTCACACATCTTTACTGCCCTCTCCTTGCGCTCTCTCACTGGCATTTAATCGTGATCACGCTTTCACCAACTTAAAAGTTCCTTGGCTTTATATCCTCCTCCTGTCAGCGACTGCCCTTTCTTATTTAAGTGCTGGAACAAGACACAGCTCAGTTCAACCTTCAGCACATGCTGTCCCCATGACCCAGAACACTGTTCTCTGTGCACCTCCTCTGGCTCCATCCAGCTGTTCCTCACTAACTTCCTGTTCCAGGGAGTCTTCCTGGATTCTTCCATTCCTGGTTATGGACCTCACCTCGGGGTTCCCAGAGCACCTTGTGTTTGCCTTTATCAAAGCCTGTCATGTTTTATGTCTACTTACTGGTTACCCACCCTCCACTGAGAATACCTGAAGACTAGGAACTTAATTGTTTATGTCTCAGGATGGCCAACACGGCCTGGCTCTTGATAGGCACTCAACAAATGCTTGGCAATGAGTAACACATTTAGTACAAGATTAAAACAAGTAATAACCCAGAGTATTTTAGTCTATCTGTTAAAATTTAAAAAAATAACCCAGGCTATGTTAGTCTATCTGTTACGTTACAGACACGTTTGCCCTCAAAGCTTATTTTTTTAAAAAATATATGTTGTTATTACCCCAAGGCTATAAAAATATCTATATATATTCTTTGCCTTGGTCATTATATTTTTTCATATTTCTAAATCCACATGGAGTTAAATTTCAGGATCCTTCTGATTAGGCGCTGTATCTTCTACACAAGTTCTTTATGGATTGACTGGTTTTTAACTTTCTTTTTAGCCTAAGTGAATTCTAACAAGAATACAGAGTTATGAACTAGATGATCTTTTAAAGACACTTCAAATCTGAAGAGTTTATGAAATTCATATATTGAAAATCAAAATTTCCTTCTAGATCATGCCTGACATAAAAATATATATGAACTGTAAAACAGATTTAAAATGTTAACTCTCACAAACACATAAAAGCAAACTTTAAACATTTTTAAATTAATAATTTTAAAGTTCTGCTATATTTTCATTTATAGGTACTAAGAACCCTATCTTCCATCTTTACTGGTTTCTGCATCTCATTCTATTAAGATTATTTCCAGAATTTTAGAATTGACACATAATCTGACCATGCTGAAAATGTTCTCAAACACCTGTATTCTGCAGAAAAGACCACTCTGAATATTAAAACTGAACTACTCCAAGTTACAGAAAAAGACAATATTTTAAAACCACTGTTAAAGTGAAATTACTTTGATATTGATTCAGAATAACTGAATTAAACCGACTGCATCTTTTGTTCTTACCCTTGGAAACGTCGTAAATCTATCCAGCTCTTCGACGAAGCAGAACATCTGCAGACTAATTGCCGACATAACAATCAAGAGGCTGGCAGTAAATACAACCAAACTTCCCAGCTTTTTTCCAGGACCAAATATCTTGTACACGAAGTCTTCTAATGCAGGTGAAATTTTAATAAGCCGAACTACCCGGAGAACCTATTGTGGGAGAGAAAAACACACACACTTGATCGTTTATTTATACTGAATCTTAAATAAGTTCATACTAAAATCTCATTTTTCATAGCACTCTATAAAATCACATTTAGCAATTAAATTAAACAATTTAATAACTAAGATATCAGTAGCTCAGTGACTGTCATATAGCAAGAACTCAATAAATCCCAAAGGAATGAAGGAAGGAAAATGGTGACAACTCAGTGTTTTAATGTATGATGTGATAATTCAAAGTGGCATTAATTAACACATATTGTTGAAATAAAATTGACATTTGTTCTAATGTTCAAATATCAAAGAAAACATTAGTTCAATATTAGGCATATTCACTGTCTCATAAAACAAACTTTCCTAGGGATTACTGTACATTCAAAAGGAAATTTTAAAAATCCATCTATCAAGGAGTCTTTACTCATGGCTGAGACTGCTACGCTAAGATCTATTCTATCCTTCCTTTAACTAATAGAACTTGCTGAATTTCAGCCTAGCAAGGCTACAGACTGCATTTTCCAGCCCCACTTGTATCTAGTTGTGGCCGGTGGACTAGGTTCAGACCTATGGAATGTGAAAAGAAGTGATTTTTGCACTTTAAATTAAATAATTTGCCCTGGACACTCTTTTCATACCTTCCTCTGGCTGGGAAATTAAAACAACTGTAATTGTCCCTTTGGAACAAAAATAGAAGCCTCGTATAGAAGATGATAGATTCAGTCTAACCCAACAGGCCTGCTTTCTGGATGGCCCTGGGGAGCAGAGCCACCTACTTGCCCTGGACTCCCACCAACTGGAGAGAAACACACTTCTATCTTACGCAAGCCCTGTATTTTTTAGAACTTTGTTATACGTGCTCAGCTGGTTATCTAAACACACACATGTTTAAATGTTTTGCATATATATATATGCAAAAACTACCACCCATAACTAATTAATTTTCTCATTCACTTAACAAATATTATTATGTGCCAAACACTGTGTTGGACAAATAAGATTCAATGGCTATTACTGTTACAAAAGGAGTATAATACAAAGGCACAGCTCTTAAGGGCATATCTATAAGATTAAAAATATAAAGTAGAATATCATTAAAAGTTGAAGTATAAAATATGGAAAAGTAGCATTTTTCAACAAGTCTAAGATGCCATCGATTTTTTTATGTACCACTGAGAAACTGAAAAATGCCGCCAATTAAAGTATAACACACCACTGATTATAAGACACATCCCAGTTTAGAGATATTAAAATAGGAAAATTGTGGTCTTGGTATAAATGAAAGATGATAAGTAGAATGGTAGTCCAAGATGGTTTGCTATCAATAAGAGCTTAAGGTGTCTGTAAAGGCTTCTCAGGAGAAGAAAGAATACAGTAAGGAACAGGAAATGCTTTAAACACCTAGATTTAGGGCTTCCCTGGTGGCGCAGTGGTTGAGGGTCCACCTGCCGATGCAGGGGACACGGGTTCGTGCCCCGGTCTGGGAAGATCCCACATGCCGCGGAGCGGCTGGGCCCGTGAGCCATGGCCGCTGAGCCTGCGCGTCCGGAGCCTGTGCTCCGCAATGGGAGAGGCCACAACAGTGAGAGGTCCACGTACCGCAAAAAACAAAACAAACAGACAAACCCCCTAGATTTAAATTTTTACACAAAATAACATGCGTTTGGATTTTTCCAGCAACCTAGCTTCCTAATCCTCTTAGTCTATGAGGTCCAGAAGGGACTTCCTGACCCCCATGATCCAGGCCTGGCCAGGGTATTCACAATGACCTCAGTCATCAGAACTTCTGTGGGACCTATGAGAGGTGTCCTATTTTTTAGCCCCAGCTGGAATTACTGTAAGAGCCACATAAGCCCTGAGCTTCTGGGAGCCATCTTAGCCACCACATGGACAAAGAGAGCTTAGAAATGATACCAACACAGAAGAAAGGTGAGTGGAGAAATGGACGGGGTCCCAATAATACCATGTTAGTCTCTGAATTTGGCCATCCCTGAAGCCACATTTACCCGCTACCCCCAGACTGTGAATTAACAGGAACTACTAATGGTGAACCGTATTCTCATTGTCTGCAGAACACAAATATCAATAGTGTGGGTTGTAGCTGCACGTCTAATAAACTAATGGACAAATGTTTAAAGAAGTTGAGAAAATGTAGATTTCCTTCATGCTCATTTAAAATACTTAATACTTTAAGAAGAAAATTTATGTGAGAAATTATATTGTTCAAATTAAACATTATACCACAGGCATGGTTAAGCTACTAGTTTTTCCCGCTATAATTCTTAACATACATTTCCAAATCAGAACATATTACACTTGGGTCATCTTCCCAAATACAAGCAAACAGCTTTATCATAAGAACTATTAAAATAGTAACATCCAGAATAATAATATGAAAAGATTTTACACTTTTATTTATTCTTAGACATAAATGATTCAGTATCTAATAGTTAAACAGCTGAGTCCAGGAAAGTTTACAGGAACAATTCAACTGGTTTATTGCTCAAATTTCAGTACCTTGTGTTTTCTCCACTTGCACTAAAATCATATTTAAAAGATTAATCTTGAATCCTGTCCCAAATTCTAATAAAAACAGTCTATGCACATCTGTGCAATTCTGATAAATTAATATTTCATTAGCTGGAAGAAACATAACTTAACACAATTCCCACATTGGTGATTTGATAAGCATTTTCAAAGGGGCAGGCCTGCATCTGTGGAAAGGCAAAATCCTTATCGGTAACTCTAATTATGCCTTTTCATTTATTTGGGGATAAGTGTGCTTTTCACTCTGTCTACCCAATAAAGCCTTTTGATTCTGTGTTCCTACAGATACGAAATAAAGTAAACCATACATTCAAAGATAAGCACTGTAGGACATTTTGTAGTTGCTTCCAAAGCACATTTTCCTGGTCACATTTCTAAGTCTGTTGTTAAAGGTCACTCTGCTGATTAATAGTGAGATACTGTAGCAATTGAGTGGTTAAGAATATGAATATAAGATTAAACTTCTTGGGAATGAGTTTCCACCATTTGCTAGTTATGTGGTCTTGGGCAAGTTATTCAGTCTCTAGGGATCGCAGTTTACACTCCATCAAAACAGTTTATTCTCTAACGAGAAACAAATGAAGCGATGCACTCGGCAGAGTGCCTGGCACACAGTAGGTGCACAATAAATACCAGCCGGTGTCATCACCCTGCTATGTCAGAACCAGAGCATTTTGCGAAGACTTTATTACTCCCTGTAATATGCCCTATGTTCACTCCATCAAGCATGTATTCTCCTTAGGACAGGTGCCATGTAGTTCTCTCTACCTGGAATGCATCCACCCAGACCTTCTCAAGGTTCGCTCCTTCTCTGCCCAAATGTCCCCTCTTCAAAGAGGGCTTCCCTGAACAAACTTATCTAAAATAGCACCCTCACCCCACAACTTCTATCCTTTTCACTCAGCTTGTCTCTCCTGGATGGCATTTCCTGTACTCGCATTCCTTTCGTGCACTCGTACTTGTGTACTTGTGTGTACTTGTGTATAAACTGTTTGCCCTCTAGAATGCAAGCTTCCCGAGGTGGGCATCTTCTCTGCCTTGTTCACTTCTCTGCCCTCAGGATCTGGAACAGTGCCTGGCACATAGTAGGTGCTCAGGAACTCTCATCTGAATAAAGAGATGGATAACACCCCTCTCTCAGAGATAACTGATATAAAGGGAGACATTTTGTACTAAATTGTTGACTTCATTTAGATATAAAAATTGTGACATTCACTACGGGAAGAACTGCTGCCAGCACGATGAAGAAAGGTCAAGTGAGATGAGAAGCAAGCATGAGGACCAACAGGGGAGATCAAAGTCAGCCCATAAAGAGCCAATCTGTTCAGTACAGTGGGTTCTCCAGATGTGAATTTGCAAAAATCCTTGTGACATCTAAGTTTCTTGAGAGATTTAGCTTCTAGGCACAAAATAACTGAGACAGTGTTTATCTCATTAGACAAATATAAACTTGGCCATGTATAGAGAGATACAAATGAAAATCACTCTACTATTAACATAAACTATTACAAGTTTTACAGACATTAAAACTGCAAACTTCACTGACCCTGTATTGTGACTGTATCTATAGCTATATGTCTATATATAAAACGATTGGAGCCATGCACACTGATTTTAGATATTTTGTGAAAAACAGAGTAGAAGAAAAAACCTAGTGGTTAGGACTACGTGCTCTCACTGCTGAGGGTCCCAGTTCGATCCCTAGTTGGGGAACTAAAAACCCCATAAGTCACGCAGCCGAAAAGAAAAACAACCCAGAGGTGGTGACTTTTAATCATCTGTAATGATTTGGTTTATTTCTTTCCGGTCATTTTTTCATTTATAGGTATTTTACATACATATATAGAGCTATATATGTTATATATAGCATGGATATGTAGCTATACATGTTATATAATTTTATACTGTTTTGCATTTAAATAGAACAATCATATCTCTAAGTTACTACAAATTCATCATAATTATTTTTAAGGCCAAATTTGCATATGAGTTACTAAGCTATTCCTCATATGCTTACCACTTAAACAGTTCCCATTTTTTTCTCTCATAAACAATTCTAGAATGAATATCTTTGTGTGCAAAATTCTGACCTATTTGTAACTTTTCACTGAAAAATTATCTATGAGAAATGATAAGAATTTTAAAGCCCTGAATATATTTTATATGGCACCCTTGCTGTAATAGGCTTTGATGTCTTTCTTAATTTAATAGGTTTGGAAAAAAGATATGTTGTAGTTTTGACTATGAGGCATATTTTCTGTAATTATGTACAATGATTCTCTAATGTAGGTCCTAAATGCTCATGTTGATTTTGTGAATCTAGACAGCAGTGCCCAAGAGCATATAATGACACAAATGTTTGGAAAGCATATTTTGTATCAAGAGTTTCAAACATGTGTATGTCTCTTGCCCCAGGCATCTCACCTATGATAACCAAGGCTGAGGATATAACCCAACCAGTGGCAAGGGATTTCTGTTCAAAGATGTTGACAGTACTGAAAGCTTGAACCATGATACCCTCTGTGAGTTCACTGGGTGCTTGGCTGTGACTACGAGAGGCTCAGCTTTTCATGTGTGTTTGTGGGGTATGTTTTTCATTTTTGCGAATTGTATTTTCACGTCCTTTCTCCCAGGTATCAGGAGTGCTGAGTTTCAGGTCACGATCGGGCACCTGAAGTTAATACTTCTCTGAAAATGATGGCTTTGGTATCATCAATAAGTAAGTTCAGTGAAGTTGGAATGTATTTTCTTTCATCTAAGGAGTTAGAATCTTGTTTCTCTGAATTGTTTCTTTGAAAATTGTACTGCCATTTTATTCTCCAACTATTTTAAAATATCTATGAAGAAAACAATGCAACTTCTGATATTTACATGATAAATTATACAAATGACCAATTCTGAGTCAGAAAAATGACTATACTTGAGATTTTAAAAATTAAGCTATCCCATATACATATATTATATTTTGACCAAGGAGTTAAAAAGAACGCTCAGCATATTGCTATTATTCAACAATTACAAAGAGCGTAAGTAATAATTACTTTTGTTTACTGAATAATTATAAAGTAATGTGATTGAATATATCACATTTGAAAAAATAGATATCCAGTTATTATAAAAAAAGTAAAAAATTATAGGTATTGTTATTTAATCATCACAAAGAAACTAATAGGAATTCATAAATAATGAAGTATGACTAATTACAATCTGTAAAGGTAAGTTTTATTTCTTATTATTTCAACTGTAAGTTAGTGTTGAGCAAACATATTTAGACTTATTGAGAAGGGAGAACTACACTTGGAATTAAATTCATATTTCCTGCTCTTTAAAGTGTGTGTCAACATCTGATGTAGTTTAAAATTTTACATGTATGCACAGATGCATAATATCCATGTACATATAAAATACGTACCTCTACACACTGTGCTGATCTATGAACTGTACGTAAAACATCTCCATTTATTACTCTGAATTTTCAGAGTTTTTAAAACAATGAAATGAATGCACTATTTTTGGTATTTAAAATGTCACAGGGCCTATTTGAAGTTTGTATTTACTACAGTTGTTGGTATTTTCCCTGGAAAGAAAATAATTCTAAAGATAAATAGGCATTATTTGTATTACCTGAAAGTATGTGAATTGAGAATGATAAAGATCTGGATATACATGAAGAGTGGTTCCAATTACGAGCAGCAGCTCGAATTTGTGGAGAGATGAGCTAATATATCCAGTAAATCCCAAACACCATATCTTCAGAAGTGCTTCCAAATCAAAAAGTACCGTAAAAGCCACCTAGAGGAACAAAGGGACAGTGAAATTGTAATGTAAAACTATAATTTATTTCAAAATATTTCATATGGTTGTTAGTGCATGAATTTTAGCCACTATCATATAAAATGAGGAGCCATATCATATAAAAATCTAGAACAATATTGTTAAAAATACGGTTTTGAAACACACCAACTAGAACCTCACAGACCAAATATATCTTAAGCAATCAGAGAAAAATACGTTAAAATATTAAATGTTTGTGAGTGGTATTATTTCCTCACTATTCATCATTTGATATTAATTAAAAGTCATAGCCATTTATAGAATTACAGTACTATATACAGAAAGGCTGCATTTTTCTATAATTTTTATTTTCTAAAAAAAGTTTCTACAATGCACATGATATAGTATAATTACACTTACATATTACTAAGTGTAATTAAACTACAATTTAAAAATTTATATATCATTTATATCTTGGGCCACATAAACAGCAGAGAATTTTGGATTTTATTGGGTTGGCCAAAAAGTTCGTTCGTGTTTTTCCATCACATCTTAGGGAAAAACCCAAACGAACTTTTTGGCCAGCGCAATATAACAAGGAGTTTATGTGTGTGTGCATATGCACACATAAATTAATATGTCTACATTATTAATTTTATAAATTAACAATCGACATTACTGTGTTAATAAATTCGTTCCATCTCTTAATCTATCACATTAATTCTAGGAATTTGCTATTGCAAATAACAATATTATAAAGTACATATACAAACATAGCATATTATTTTTCGTTTGCTTGTCCTATGGATAAAAGCACTCAATTTATAAAGAAGTTTACAACTGGAATTAAAATGGCAATATAATATTAACTTTAAAAAAATTTTATTGGATAGTTGATTTACAATGTTGTGTTAGTTTCAGGTATACAGCAAAGTGAATCAGTTATACATACATCCACTCTTTTTTAGATTCTTTTCCCTATTCTTTTGAGTAGAGTTCCCTGTGCTATACAGTAGGTCCTTATTAGTAATCTATTTTATATACAGTAGTGTGTACATGTCAGTGACATAAGATTAACTTCTAATTAAAGAGTAGTGTGTACATGTCAGTGACATAAGATTAACTTCTAATTAAAGAGCGCAACTAGTCATAACACATCCCTGTCAGAAGATACCAAATGATTTGTTGGAAGACAGGAATAAAGGATAGCTTGCTTCTCTTTTTCTAGGCCAACATGGAAGGGATTTTCTTCCACACACATTTGGAAAATGTGAGGAAAGTGGAGTTTTAATAACATTTTTAGGACTGGAACATTAAAGGGATTGCAGATGGTTAATTTAGGTGTGAGGAGGAACTTAACATTACTTCTCTAGACCCACCTTGCCTCATAATTTAAATTGACATGTCCCTTTTAAAAAATGTAACAGACACACAGAAAAGAAACTTATGGTTACCAAAGGGGATAGTGAGAGTGGGACAGATAAATTAAGAGTTTGGGAGTAACATATATACACCACTATACATAAAATAGTTAAACAACAAAGACCTACTCTATAGCACAGGGAACTCGACTCAAAATCTTGTAATAGCCTATAATGGAAAAGAATCTGAAAAAGAATACATATATATATATACACACACACACATATATATGTGTATATATATGTATTTGACTGAATCACTTTGTTGTATACCTGAGACTACTGTAAATTAACTATACTTCAATAAAAAAAGTGTAACAGAGTAATACATTTTAACTGTGAATTAATCCTAAATACACAAAGTATTAATAAAATTCCTGCCCACCTTTCCCAGGTGATTCATGGTAACCATGTTTTATATTCCCTCCTCATCCAAACATACATAATCACACAATGGGCTTACATTTTATGTCATTCTTCAGCTTCTCACTAACAATCATGGACGTGCCTTCAGGTTAAGAGATATAAGTTCTACTTATTCTTTTTATCAGCTGCATAATTTTGCATGGTATTCAATGTTTATTTAATTCAACATTTTCTCTACTGATTCATTAAAGGGCGGTACTTCTTGGATAAGGAATCATCAGGAAAAATGGTTAAGCGTTTTGCTACTTCAAAAACAGACTGTACTGACCATCCTTATGCAATATCAGTTTTTATTGGGCTTCCCTATCAGTAAGTAGAATCTCCAACCTGGCACCTCTGGGGCAAAGGACATGTTTGCCCACTTTAAATTTTAGAAAGCATTAAGAGATTACTTTCAAAATGTTACGTTGTCATTTGCCTTTCAGCAAGGTAGGAAAGTGTTTCTTTTCCTAAATCTGTACCATCACCTGATGTAATCAAACTTAATAAAACTTTTGCTTAGCTGTCCAGATATGTATTGATGACTTAGATTATTTTTTTAAAACAAGTTTCTGTTCATAACCTTGCCAATTTTCTATGGTGGTGTTGTTTCTTTCTTATCAGTTTTTGGAGTTGTTGATATTAAGGACATTCATCTTTGTCTGCTATATAAACTGAAATATTTTTTCCCTAGTCAATAGTTAGATTTTTAACTCTAGTGGAATTAGTTCTATAAGCACTTTAATTTTTATATGGTCACATGTGTCCATCTTTATAACTTTTTTCTTTACCTTGTACATGCCTTAGAAGGATTAATAGATAGTCTTCATATCTAGAAACACACTATGTTTTTCTATTTATTTGGCCCATATTCTTTAATAAAATTTTCCCCATAAAGATATATTATTGTTTGATTTTGAAATTTATTTCTATTCATTTAATATTCCAGTCACTAATGAAAATGAATTTTTTTTACCTTTTTAATTTTTTTTAACCATTTCTACCTAGTTATTTCCAGTGGAAAGAAAAGCTACTGATTTATTTATATTGATTTTTCTCAACTTGCCTTACTAAATTCTTCTATTAATTCTAAAATTTTAAAAATCTCTTGGGCTTTAAAAACATATATATATTTCATGTGCCAATGAAGATACGATGTTTTTCAAGATTTATTTTGGAGTTAATTGTATTAATTCATTAGCTATAATGGTATAGCCAAATAGTAATATATACTAAGTAATGTGGTGGTAATAACAGGAGTCCATAATATGCCCCTTATTTTCAATGAAAGTTTCTCAGTATTCATATATAATGGTTGCACTGAGCTTAGGGTAATAATTTCTACCATGTTTAAGTACTTTCTTTCTCTTTTATTTTACTTAGAGGGCTTTAGCCTTTAATTCATTGAGGCAATGAAATATATCACAGGAGTCCTTGATTTGTATATTCCTAGAATAAACCCTAGATGCTTATGCTGATTTTATTGGATAATATTTTGTTTATAATTTTTGCAGCTACTGTCATAAATACAATTGGTCTGTAATGTTACTTATACTATAATTATAAGGTTTGGGTTAAGCCTATGGTAGCCTTATCAAACTTATTACGGAGTTTCCCATCTTTTGTACAATCTGTAATTTCTTAAATAAAATAAGAGTTATCTCATCTTTGAAAGTAGATAAAAATCCAGCAGAAAAACCACATGGGCCCAATCTTTTTTATAACGGTAGATCAAAGCTTTCCAATGTTCTTCTGATCAGCTTTCTTACCTCGTCCATCAACTTGGTAGTTTGTACTTTGCCAGGAAATCATTAATTTCCTCTAGATTTTCAAGACCTGTGTTTAGAGTACTTTTTTTTTTTTTTTTCAGAAAGAACTGGTTCAGCAGAGGGCATGAGATATCTTACAAATTTGCTGCCCCTTTAAATCAACTTCTTGGCTGACATTTCTCAGACCTGAAACTAATGTGATTTTGAACTCCAATCCCACGTAGGCAGACTTGTGCTGACACATTTTCACAAAGCGTACTCTTTCCCTACTCTTTTGGAGTCAAGGTCAAGACTTAAGTTTTCCCCACTGTTTCCTTCTGAGGGATGGCCATTTTCCTTCTCTCATTGAGGTACAGACCTCATGTGTCCTGATGTTACATGGGGGTGTCTCTGTTTTGACGCTTCACCTTGAACAGCCCCTCCGTCTGTCCAGGATACAGCTCCTAAAATGGCAAGTTCTAGGAGACAAGCATATGCAAATACCCTCAGGGCAGCCACTGGCCTTAGAGCCCACTAGCTGTTCTTCATTCGCATCAACACAATTTTTGGCCTTGAGAATATTCCTTAATTTTTTTTGCATGGTCTGCTAAGCATTTAAAATGTTTTAATATTTTAGATGTCACTTTTAGTTTTTTCATAGATGATTTTCAGCCCCTTTCTGGGGCCACTTTGTATGCGTCTCCTAGAATCAAGATACTATTTGATTTTGTGTTTAAACATAATCATATTTTCTATGATTTTTTAAAAATCTTGGACCTTCTCTGCCCCAACCTTTAATCAGCCACTTCTCCTTTCAAGGCATATTTTCTATGATTTTTGATAGGAAAATTCAACCCTCTCACATATAGCGTGCCAAAGTTATACCTGGTCTTATGTTTCTAGTTTATTGTATATGTCATTGATATTCATCTTTTAACCTTTTCTTGTCTTTCTGGCTTGGTCAAATTGTTGTTAATGTCTTTTCTCCCCCTTGTTTATTTGGACTCTGCTTTTCTAATCTCCCAGTTTAATTCCCAACTGTCCTACATCAACCTATACTTTTTTATTATTGCATCCAAATTGAATAATTGTAAACTCCTCTCCCGCACAAATGTACTTGCTCACTCTTCCCTCACACCCTTGCCAACCTACAAACTTCATAGTATCCTTCTCTCACCCACACTCCCAGTGATATCACCCCTCTTCCTAAATTCTGCTTTTTCTGAGATCAACCATCAATTTTTTTATTTTATTTTATTTTTTTGGCCGTGCCGCACAGCATACAGGATCTTAGTTCAATGCCCAGGGATTGAACCCGTGCCCCCTGCAGCGGAATCGCAGAGTCTTAACCATTGGACCGCCAGGGAAGTCCCAATTCTAGCTTTTTGAACTGTAATTATTTCTTTTTTTTTCAAGGACCCTTACTTGACATTTTAATTACCAT